TGTAAGTGTACAGACCGTTTAATAAGAAGATACTTTATGAAGACAGTTCACTTCGCGTTTACAGACAGGAGCCATCTTAGAAAATAGTCTCGATAAGTCGATCCCCGAACGCCGTTCATACAGTTCAAAAGTTCGCTGAACTTCATACAGTTTCAGATCACTCAGCACGACGTTCGTGGTTTGACTTATCGAGACTATTTTTTAAGATGGCTCCTGTCTGTATACACGAAGTGAACTGTCTTCATAAAGTATCTTCTTATTAAACCGTCTGTACACTTACAAAGTTCTCAATGCTTCGTTTTGCATGTATGGAGTCTCATTATGTTACTGTGTTAGTGTGGGGCTATTTTGAGCCTTGTTAGTGGTATAAACTAGCGATTTCTTTTTACTTAGTCAATGCCCCCATTACTAGCATTATACGCTAAACAGTTTTTAGAGATAAAACTCTACATTCGATTATCCTGAAAACAAATCTCAGAGAATGGTTGACTATGTACCAATGTTTTATTAGACCAAAGGTTCATTGTTCGCCGGAGTTCTCCTTTAACATTTACTATATTACTTGGATCTTCTTTATTATGCCATTGTTACATTTTTTTTCATGTTGTGTGGTACTTCTCAGATGGTATCGTGCCCCGGAGCTGCTCTTCGGTGCCAGGATGTACGGTGTGGGTGTGGACATGTGGGCAGTTGGCTGCATTCTTGCTGAGCTTTTACTCAGGGTGAGGATCTTTGTACAGTGTTTGTAAAGCCATTTGGCTCTTTAAAAAACCAATCAGACTGTTAATGTGTATTTTAAAGTCATGAAATGGAAGTTGCAATTAGTTTTTCACTAATGTGACGTTATATCCGAGTAAAACGCCTTCTCAAACAAGAAAAAATGTGGGGCGGGACTTGATTTTGTCCATCGGGAATTGTTTGGATTGTTGTGGTTTGCTATCGCTGTGATGTCATGTGAGTGACAGGTTGTCCTGCCTTCGCACCAGTAAACACATCATCAGAAAACAGGAGAGATGTTGCTGCAAGAGGGAGGGGAGGTTATTATGGTTAAAGATTACGAGGAACCAAATGAAAAATGATAAACATGAAATTTAAGAACAACATAATAATATGCATGGATAAATCATTCATAAAACTGCAACATACTATAAAAAACAAGACTTTGATTTCATGGTGACTAAAGATTTGTTCTTGTATTTTAGTTACCATTTTTGGCTGGAGATTCAGACTTGGACCAGCTGACGAAGATATTCGAAGCTTTGGGAACACCAACAGAGGACACATGGCCTGTGAGTTGTAGCTATCTACTTATTTGTAATGAGAGCGTTTTATTCAGCTTCATTTCCATATGCAAGCAAAGCATCAAGGCCTGTTCACACCTATAACGATAACTATTTTAGCATCCACACCATCGCACAATTAGATGGTTTTAAAGGGGTCATGAACTGGCTTTTAAAATTGTATTATATTGTTGTCTGAGGTCAACTTATGACGTTCGCTTGGTTTTTGCATTCAAAAACATCAAAATGATTAAGTAATAGGCTATTTTGTACCCAAGTTGTGAGCCTTCCTGAAAAACGGTCGGTTTTTATGGGCGTGTCGCACTGAAGACTTGGAAATAAACGCCCACTGCTGTGAGTGGAGAACAGTTTTGCATATTATAATGAGTTTCACTCACCCGTCGGTGTACGTGGGGGAAAACGTCCAATGTTGTCAAATGGCAACCGGATTCGCCCATACATGTTCAACCAAGAGTCCGTTTGTAGCACAATTCCTGTCATATCCAATATAGACGGCACAGCACGTTCTTTACTCTTAATCGTCTGCAAATCCAGTCTTGTTTACAAAACAATCCTCAGTGAAATGAAGCGAACAGACGACGATGTAGTTTTACCTCATCAGCTGGAACGTCATTAAAAATAAAGTTTATCCATGCAGTCCTATTGGAATCCAGAGGAAGCTTATGCAGCGACTGTCTTCTTCCACAACCAGGCACTGCACAATATTCTGTATTGCTCGGTTGAACGATCCGGTTTGTCATCACGCGGTAGGCATGTATGTTAGGCTACTTAGCTATGCGTGTAATGCGCGAATTGGGCTAAACCGGCCGTGTTGAAGTAGGTGTTGATCTTCTTCTGCGGGGGTGGTGTTTTAACCCCTTCGACGTCATAGTTTCCCACTTTTAAAAACGAGGCGTTTTCAGAGGCTGGTGTCAATAAAAGCTTTTATTGGACTAACAAGGACGTTTTCAGTTCTGAAACTTACAGGATACTCTTATAATATGATGACCTCTTAGATGTCAAAAGCTCAAGGAAAATTTGATTTCTCAGTTAATCACCCCTTTAAGGTGCAGTTATGTGCAATGCTCAAGCTCTTTAAAACAAGATATATTATAATTGGCTGTCAATGTTTTAGCGTTCATCAGGTGAAAAGAGTCTGATAGTGATTTCAACTATATTGTTCTATCAATTTGTTATCATCATAGTTGTGGTCTGGACTAAATTTAGAACGATTTTTTAAAATATACCTTGATTACTTTATTTTATAACTTGCAGTGTAAATACCTTAGAAAGTATGTGTTAATATATAAGGTAACTACATGGGTTAAGGTTAGGTTTATGGGTAGGTTCAGGGTAAGTACCTAGTTATTTCCCAGTTATTGTAATGACTGAGTACATAATATGTACATGGGGCACAGGACTGTTAAAATAAAGTGCTACCTATATCGATAGCTACCAATAAGGTGACTGGGCATTTACTGGAGATACTATAAAAGGACACATCATTGAGGTTTCATATTGTCTAATTTACATTTATTCATTTAGCTGACGCTTTTATCCAAAACGACTTACAATTGAGGTCGCACACCTCTGGAGCAACTAGGTTAAGTGTCTTGCTCAGGGACACAATGGTGTCTCATAGTGTATTCGAACCCGGGTCTCTCACACCAAAGGCATGTGTCTTATCCACTGTGCCATCACCACCCCAGTCTAATCTTTGAGGCTTTGAGATATCTGCATGTCTAAATGAGGTAGAATCAGTGATTTGTGCCGGTTGTTGTTTCAGGGGATGTCCACTCTCCCAGACTATGTGTCATTTAAACTATTTCCTGGCACGCCACTGGAGCACATTTTCAGCGCAGCTGGTGATGATCTTCTGGAGCTCCTGAGGGGGTTATTCACCTTTAACCCCTGCACACGCACCACAGCTTCACAGGTGCCAATAACCGGGTTGCAGTTTAATCAACTTAATCTTAATGCTTAAAGCTAATCTACATTTAGAGAGAGTGAACACATGTATACTGTCGTTTCAGGCTTTGAAGATGAGGTATTTCAGCAATAGGCCAGGACCAACCCCGGGGCCGCAGCTTCCCAGACCAAACTCCTCAACAGAAGTCCTGAAAGAAAAAGAAAACCTGATGATCGGAATCAAGAGAAAACGTGACAGTATTGAACAGGGTGAAAAAAACATGCACAAACACTTGATAAATGCACCTGATAGTGTGTTTGTTTCTTTAATGGAAATATCTGTGTTGTTTATATTAGACAGTGTTCTGAGGGAAATGCTTATTTGTTCAGAAAAATCAATTCCAGTGCTGCTTAATATATCAAAATCAACAGATAAATGGAAGTTGTTGCTCTGTTTAGATTACACTGATATATAATGGATAATGAAAATGGTGTCCCACATGGTAATGAATGTTTTATTGCTATTCCATTTCTTAGGTACCCTTAAAAAGAAACTGGTGTTCTGAGTGATTTGGATGCTGTTTTCTTCCACTGGTCCCGCGTGAATGGAAAGGAACGTATTTATGTGTCAATCCGTTTTTTCAGTTATTTTTTTATGTACTATAAATATTAAATTATAGAAAAATTTAGTTTTGCTTGTTGTCTGTTTTAATTAGTTATGCACATCACCCCCATTTATGTTAATACTATATTCAGTAATCATTTTAGCGTTTACAAAAAGCACATACAATATATTTACATTTTTTGTAATAATTACAACAGAAAAATACAATAGTTTTATACATTTTAAACTGTAATAAGCTATGCTTTTAAGTATTTAGTGTATAGTTAATTGTTTACAGATTGGTGTGTCCAGTGTTCTTTGAGGCAGTTTGGCTTGTTTTGAATCTGCATCAGTGGTCCTGAGTGTGGTGCTGTTGTGTCACAAACCTGCCTGTATCTTCTCTCTGCTCTGGTAGTTCAGTTTGTCAGAGAACTGGCTACGCTTCACCAACACTTTGTGATATGTTGAGAGTTTAGGATTTACAGTTAGCATTTCTATAACCAAACACTATTTAAAACCCATTAGTATTACATAAATTAGGGTTATCTATATATCAACCTACATGTAGTTTATTGAACCCACTCACTGTTGAAAACAGATGTTTGCAACTTGCATACTTTACACACCGTGTCAAACACAGTTAGGAGAGGCATTGTTTTGCTGTCACTGCCAGCTAACTGGAAAACTATTATATGAGCAAATCCAAACCCTTACGAAAATTAACCATGGGTATTGTGGTAAAAGTGTAGTAACCATGTTTTTTTTTTTCTTTGGCAGATTGATTATTTTATATAACCATAGTTTTACTCCAAATTCCACGGTTAATTTGTGGTTACCATGGTTTAACTATGGTAACCAAGTTTTTTTTTGTTTTATTTGTTGGAAAAACTATGGTTAATTTTCGTCACCCACAGCCACCCATCAACCACTATGTAAACATGTAAACAATAGAAGTAAACCCAATTTTTTTTTTAAATTATCTAAAACGATGATATCCAAATTAGAATAACAGATACATAGTTTACACGTGTTCCTGTTCCCTAGAAATTTTTGGGCTACAATATGACTTTAAATACATATTTTTCATTTGTCATTGTGTTCAAAGGAAATTCGAAACCTCACATTATGACGATAGCGGAAGTGATACAGTAATGACATTATTTGATTTGGATGCAAAATCAATATTAAATTCGTTTAATCAACAAAGCAACCCAACAAGCATCTGTGATTTCGGATTTATGTCGGTCACAGTCTCGCAGACTTCCGCACGCGCTAGTCTCGGACAGCTCTTGCTCGCCTCGCACACACGTCACACAGTCTATTGTGAGCCGCGGCGCGCGTGCAGGACTGATCGCGGGAGCGCGAGAGCACAGAAGACACGGACCACGGTCGCGTTATTTAGAATCTCACGAGCAAAACATTCGAACTGGATTAGTGTGTGTAAAGCAGAATTTGCCTCGCTGTCAGCATGTGTTCCGCGTGTTGTGTGTCTCAGGTGAGTGATGCATTTACTTACAGCATGAAACATCACCGTCGTGAACCGTGCGGAACACTCGGTTTCCCATTTCAATTATTTTCTATAGCATTTGATCCTGATATGTTCACATATGCTTTAGACAAAGTTTAGTAATAAAAGTTCCGTTTTTTTAAACGTGTGATTGTTGTTTTTGTTAATAAGTATGTCAGTTTCAAATAGGCTACACAAGCAGCTTTTAGTGTCATCCTTGTTTGTTGTATCAGTTAACAGACATGAATTCTCGATAGCAAATTTGCTTTGCATAATATGTAACGTTACAGGGATATAAAACGAATTTTCATAAACTCATTATTTTAGTCCAGTATTTATTTGACATAAGTTATTATTTCTTAATTTCAAACCTATGAAGATGATTTTGAGGGGACAATGCTTAAACCAGACTAAGACGCTTTGATGGTCTCCCAGTCTGGTCGAACTGGTCTGTTGCCTGCTTTTAGATGGTTCTGTGTCATTTTTCAGCTAAACGCCAGTTGGCTGAAAGACCACAACCCACATAAAACTAGCAAACCATCTTAGGCTGGTTTATGTCAGGGTGATGGTTTCCGCTGACGGTACAAGATAATATCTTTCCATCAACTGTGATGTCAGTATCCAACTAGTATTGTATCATGACTTGTTCTAACGGTCAGGAAATTATGTCATCACTATTCACTATGATTTATCATGTTTCATGTTCCTTATTTTGTCCTCATTTAACATTCTCGTCAGAACAAATATGTCCCTGACTCCCTGTCTGTCCTTGTTTCCAAACGAGCCACATTTGTAAATGAAATTTGATCAAATTAACCTAAATAAAACAGATGGTATTGGAGGAGACCACACCAGGAAACCCTTCAGGTCTAAATATGGAAAATGAGTGATACTTATAATGTAATTGTCTATTTCACATTCTCAGTATACTAATTTCGGAGGGTCTTGTAGCCCCTTTGTACGTGGTGGTGTCCGCGGGTGGTCTTCATTTCCTGGTTGGATCCATGTGGCTGTTTGTTTGCATAAGATTAGCAATGGAAAGAGAGAACTTGCAGTCAGTGTTCAGCATCAATAGTGTTGTCTCATTAGTGCTAAGCTTGTCAGGATCCAGTGGCCCCACAAATGTGTGGAGTCGGGGGGGATTGGCTTTGCGTAGTCTCAGTGTTTGTTAACTAATTGCTATTATTAGATAACCCGCTTAGTTTAACTGTTGATTCAGCTTTGACACTAATGTATTCCCTCTTTATGGCAACGACAACTGCAGCGTTTATTAACATTTGTAGATTCCGTATTGAAATGAGCATTAAACAACCTCACAAGACGACACCAAATTCAATGTGCCTTCATTTAAATGTTTGAAATCACGATACTGCCATAATATCAAAGCAATTAAAGTGGCATAACACACACAGATTGGACAGTATAATTTATCTGTGTTGTCCTAACTCTGTTCGGAACACATACAAATCTATTTTCAAATCTACTGTTTTTGTCACTACAGTGAAACTGAATGGGGTCCAAAACATAATTGGGGCCATTACTGACTTTTTCACTGTAATGAAAAACAAGTCAGTCATACAGATTTGGAACAACATTAGAATGAGCCTAATTTATGGCAAAAAGCACATTTTGGGGAGAACTGTCCCTTTAATACAGTACTTCTAAGATTAGGAGAGCATTGTTTCATTTCTGTTCATTTCATTGTGTTGTGGTTTTTTGGTCAACTTGTACTTCCACTGGGCACCACTATTTACTTTTAGTTTCTAAACTCTTTTACACTTTTTTGTTGGTGGCACTAATGTATAGTCAAGCTCTTGTTTTTCCCCTTTAACAGACAGACCTGTTCGCATTAAGAACAAAAACTCTAAAGATACGGATAACTATTAGCGTCCACAACAACGTACAATAACATTGTGATAAAACCACACAAAGTGATTATGACTGTAATCCATACGACCCCAATGGATTTTAACATCTGACGAGAAACGATATACGTGTGAGAAAAAGACAAATATTTTAAACTTGGATAAGTATTGTAATGAATTTTTTTCCTGAACCTGACTACTCTACAATAATACTCACTCTAGTTGGCCAAGTCTTATACTTTTACCAGCGCATCTACACATCGACGTCCGCTGAGTCAATAAACCTACCCCATATCTATCCTAGCGCATCTCCAGTCGACGTCCGCCGGGTTCTAATCCTATAACCCTAGCGCATCTACAGTCGACGTCCGCCGGGTTCTAATCCTATAACCCTAGCGCATCTACAGTCGACGTCCGCCGGTTGCTAATTATTCTAACTAACTTATTTCTGGCTGTGCAGCTTAAATAACAGACTCGAGCAAATGTCCTTTCAATGCTTTTAATTACGGCCAGGAGAGTTCTCAAGCAATACTCAGAGAACTTCCCTAGTAAAAACAAGGCCGGTGGATCTCAGACAAATTCCATTGAGAATCCCCCCGAAAACACTGATACAACAGTCAGTTTTTATACAATATGGAGGTATGCCATAATGACATTAATTTCATTGGTTCTTCATAGGTAGACTGTTTTGTTACTGGGTAGAGGAGACTTTGTTTTAATGTTTTTAACTTAGTCATCTGTCTAGTTCCATTTCCCATATTTGTTATTTATACAGTCAGGTGTTTGACACACATACATTCATCTGAAGTACAGAATGTCTTAGTACATTGTCTCAGATTTTCAGCTGGTTAAATGAGGTCAAATGTTAAAACATGGTTTGCTTAATATTCAGTTTAAAATTTTCCACCACAGTATTTTTCGAACACACCTATTATCTCTCTCCAGAAGATGTTGATTCATCCAGTCGGGACGTATGGATAACCGTTGTGATCGAATTGTTTGGTTTTTGAAGCGTCACCTTTTGTGTTACTAATCCACTTGCATTTTATGGGGTCACACAGGCCCCGTTCACACTTGGTATTAAGATGCGTTTTGGTCTTTCAGATCACAAGTAGACAATGGAGACACATTCCCGTTTATACCTGGTATTTAACTGATTTCATTGAGGGGAGGGCCTATGGGTGGGTAAAAGTTTGGGCTTTTTCAAACCTTTCGATTATGGACAAAGAACACGACCGGAGAAAACAGAAAAAAACATACAGAGAGCAGAAGCTTACATTTCTTCTCTGATAGCCGCAAGACCACGCCGAACACAGTGAGTGTGTGTTAGAAATCAGGAATGGTGACAGAACATTGTGCTTGTTACGTTTTTCATATTCAAACCAAACTTGAGGTGGTTGAAAGTGGGCCATTTTAGACCCTTTTTACACCTGTTTTTAGTGTCGTCCTAGCCTAGAAAAAAGCCTAACATTTTTTGTTTGGGAAGTTCGGTCTGGACTCAGTCCATTGAGGAGTAATTATGATTGGTTCAGAAATCGTTGGGCTAATCAAATTGCCATGGGCGGGCTTTATACGATGATGGACAGATGATCTGCAGTTACTTAATCATCACTTTATCAAAGAGGAGCTTGGGTTGAACTGGTTTCCCTCAGAGATGACTGCAGCTGGAAAATTTAGATGTATAGATTTCGCTATCCGCTGTTGTACAAGTAATCGACAGTGCATTCATTTTAAAAGACAAACAGAGAACTGCAATCAAGGCATTTGTCGATCGTCAAGATGTGTTTGCCGTCCTTCCTACAGGATTCGGCAAAAGTTTAATTTATCAGCTGGCTCTGATGGTCCCTAAGAAGATGGTTGGGCTGGGTATTGTTAGGTATTTCACAATTCGATTCGATTTCAATTCTTGAGGCTTTGATTCGATTCGATTTCGATTCGATTCAATATTGACTTATTAGCTTCGATATCGATTCAATAATAAGTAAATACACAAGTAATTAAGTGCCTGAGTATATTTTTAAGTAATGTGCGGAGTTTTACCAATGTTAAAGAACAAATTGACCCCAGCATGTTTGTTTCCTGTCATGGTTTATTCAGCAGAATAAAAATGTACAATATTGTTTGTGTTGAATTCAAACACAACTGTGACAAGCACTGTACAGTGCTTTAACAACACCTCTAAAGTGCATGTAACTAAGTAGTAGAAAGTATATTTCTTTCTTCCTATACATTCAAGTTATAAAAGAAATGTAAACAGAAGCACAAAATGTGCATACTCAAAAAAGTGCAATATTATATTCTAATTATAATTTTGTAAACAATAACACTTAATAGCTGATCACACTTAACAGCAATTGCGAGTTATCAGGCCAATTCTAAGGGGGAAAAAATACTAACCTTTTTCCCTCTCAGAAGGAAAATATCTCATAGACTTTATATCACGCATTTCTGACTTTATATCATGCATTTCTGACTTTATAACACCCAATTGCGACTTTATATCTCGCAATTCTGACTTTATATCTTGCAATTCTGAGAAATAAAGTCAGAATTGCGAGAGATAAACTCCCAATTGTGAGAAAAAAAAAGTCAGAATTGTGAGATAAAAAGTCGCAATTACCTTTTTTATTTTCCATTCTGTGGCGGAAACAAGCTTCCATAGTTCCCGGCTTACAGTGGAATCCAAAATGAGCCCAAACGTCGGCTTTTAATGTTGGCGGTGCAGGCTTGAATCAGGCTTGAACGGAGTGCAGCTGCTGTCCGTCATCGCGCTGTTTTGCTAAGGGCTAAAGCGCGACTTGTACAACGCTGAACGCTCTCACTACAGTGTAGCCCACAGCGCCGCCACTGGCCTGGATGGCTGAATCGATTCATAGGATTTGATGAATCGATATTGAATTGAGAAGCAAAAAATTGCAATGCATTGAAACGATCTCCGTCCACATTAAAACGACTGAAAACACAGATCACGTAACCATTCACTAACAATTGGCATGCGCGTGCCGGTGTAAACAGTGGCTGATGAATCAGGGAAGGATACGCCATGACTGATGACACCCAATCATAGAGCAGAACGTGAGCCTCTGCGTCATCGTTTCTAACCTCCTCCGTTTTGTCCGGTTT